TCCCCTTGTTCATCGATTTGCTCGAGCGGGCCCAGTAATGTCTCCATTGTGAGACTTGTTGTTACTGTGTTTGGCATCTCGAATACATCATGGGAAGCTTGCGAGGCTTTGCCGTGCGGGTGAGATACTCTCGGTAGCTTTCTGGGCTCTCCGAGAGGGGCAGAGGAATTGGAACCCAGGTCAGCCGAGTGCAAGGCAAAAGCCCAACCTGCTGTGCTATTGCTCCAGTCCATGCTGATGACAGGGAGCGACAAATGAGCTTAGGAAGAGAGCGGAGGGCGCTTGCCTTGCATGCAGCCGACCTGGGTTCGATCCCCGGCATCCCTTATGGTCCCCCAAACACAGCCAGGACTGATTCCTGAGTGCATAGCCAGGAGGAACCCCTGAGCATCACCGGGTGTGACCCCCCCCCCAAAAAAAAAGAAGAGAGCAGAACCAAGAGGCCCTCTCCCTGCACACGGCCAGCCAGAGCACCCCGCCAGCCTTCCAGCCCTCATCAAGGTCACTTTGTGGTCTGCTTACAGGCCTCTGATCTCTCTTCGGGAGCTGTTTCAGCTCAGGCTGCCAGGGGACCAAGTGGTGCCAGGGTTGAATCAGGGGTGAATCTGGGACTCGGGCATGCAAAGCCTGCACTCTGCCCCATTAAGCCAAACTCTCCGGCCCTCTCTGACATCTGTTTGTGTAAGAGCCATACTCAGCTAAACTCAGGGTTTATAATCCTGGAATCATTCACTTTAGGCCTAGGCCAAGGGAGTGGTGCCAAGGACTGAACAGGCGGTCTGTGAGGCAAGCGCTCACCCCTGTGCTATCTCACCAGCCCTCACTGGCCTTTGTTGCTTTACTTTGTTTTGGGGGCACATAGAGTGGTGCTCAGGGCTTACTCCTGGCTCTGCTCTCAGGAGTCACTCCTGGTGGGGGCTCTGGGCCACATGGGGTGCCGGGGATCAAATCGGGGTTGGCCACATGCAAGGCAAGTATCCTACCCACTGAACTATTTCTCTGGCATTTTTCTATTTCCTGTTGGCCTGCCGGGTGGAGGGTTTCAACATCTACAACTACTTGGGCCTCTGAAATGGCTGTTTATGCTCTGTGTATGGTTATCTGATTTTTTTTTTCCTTTTTGGGTCACACCTGGTGATGCTCAGGGGTTACTCCTGGTTCTGCACTCAGGAATTACTCCTGGCGATGCTCGGGGGACCATATGGGATGCTGGGAATTGAACTCGTGTCGGCAGTGTGCAAGGCAAATGCCTTATGCGCTGTGCTATCACTCTAGCCCCCTGGCTTTTTTGGAATGCTTCTGGAATCTGGCAGTGGCCGGCCTCGGGAGGGGAAGGGCCTGCATGAAAGTGTCAGCTGGACCAGAAAGAGACTGGAGATGGCCGTGAGCAAAAGAAAGAATTCTGGCAAGCACTCAGCATTCTGCAAGTAGGTATGAAAGTTCAGGGCTCCTTGGCGTGAGGCTCAGCACCTCTGAAAAAAAGTTATTTAAATTAAAGCTCCCCTCCCTCATGGGAAGGCAAGGTCTTATCAGGCGGTGGCTCATTAGGTGGATCAGGAAAGTCCAGATCGATTGGTTTAGGATTACAGTTTTGGGAGAGGTGGAAATGAGAGTCAGATTAGGTGCCAAGAGTGGGTGGGGCTCCCCAGGGGGGGATTCCATTTGGGCTGGTATTGGTACTAAGCCAGGATGTTAGGAAGAGCCTCTGGACGCTGTCCTGCCAAGTAGGAAGCAGAACCGAGGCCCCACTTCACACTAAGTGGGCAAGCTAAAAACTTGTGAGTCCAATGATCTGGGGAAGTGCAGCACGCTCTCATACGCCCGCCTGGTCATACATTATCTTGGCAATACAAGGCAGCAGTTTCCCCCGCTCTTACACATCCTTAATCTGGACTGACCTCCAAGTATCAGTATGAGCCTCCTCTTTGCCCCATGTGTAACCAACCACAAGAATGTGGGAGACGTAATCTGTAGAAACTAAGTGTCCAGCTCCATATCTGCCTCTGACGTCTTCGATCAAAACATCGCTTTGACAGCATAGCTTTGACAACACAAGGTATACCCTGATGTTCCTTTGAGGAATGCTCATCCTACAACTGTCCTACTCCCGTTGGTGAGTCTTTCTCTGTGCTGAAGTCATTAGGCTGTAACTGATAAAATACAGAACCAAAGGAGGCCTCCGAGCTCTGTAAATTCTTCTCGCGTGTTCTATCTTCGAGCCTCCAACCTATCTCTGTGCCTCCAACTGAAAGAATGTTCATGCAACAGGGTGGTGTGTCCTTTTATCTGCCACCCATTCTCTTAGTTTTCTGGCCACACCCAGCTATGCTCAGGGATTATTCCTGACTGTGTGCTCAGGAGTCTCTGCTGGCGGGTCTAGAGGGGGGCGATATTAGGTACAGGGGATGGAATCCAAGTTGACTACAAGCGCCCTCCCTGCTATACTATTGCTCCAGGGCTTTCAACCCCCTTCCCCCCCTTTTTTAAAATACACCTGATTCTCCATAAACTCTGGCTTCCTTTTTTGCTCTCTGAAGAGGCATGGAAAACAGGCGGACAAAAACCCTCTACTCTTCCGCATTTTGTTTTTCAAGCTTAACCCTTACTTGTTCAGGTTAGTGGACAAGAGGGGCCAGCTAAGGGGAGCAGCCCAGGAGACGAGCTCACTGTTTATCCTGGCGTTCAGTGATCTGACTTGCACCGTACCCTTTCTCCTCTGTTCTTTTCCCTGACATGCCCCTTCCCGTGATGGTGTGGATGGCTGCCTGAGGTGCTGACTGGCCATCTTCCCAGCTTCCCAGCGGCTCCACCCCACAGTGTCTCTGGTTCGACTGGACGGGAGAGGCGGCGGGCTTGGACCTTTGCAGTTTTAGCCCTCCCTCCGCTGTACTAATGCTGTCCTACCACTCCCACCTGACTGCTGGAGATCTTTAACAAATCAAATTCCCCCCCCCCCACCTGTCCCTTCACCAGTGTTCATTTCTCACTACTAATGTCCCCCACCTCTATGGCAGGGCGTTTTTCTCTCTCTCTCTCTCTCTCTCTCTCTCCCTCCCTCCCTCTCGCATTATGATTTACAATACAGATACTGGCAGTTTCTCATGGACATCCCTTTACTACTTTGAACACTCAGTTCTTGTCCAGAGTGATCATTCCCAACTGTCTTCGTCATGCTGGTCTCTTCCAATAGAGCACCCTGACGAAATGGGATCTTAATGCCTGAGAGCATGAAACATACCCGCCCGGTAGGGTCAGCTCAGGAACGACTGATTCTGATGATCTTGTCGTCACTTCAAATGTCAAGCTGGAGAGATATGACAGCAGGGAAGGCACTTGCCTTGCTGTGACTGACGCAGGTTCAATTTCTGGCACCACTTATGGTTCCCAATGTGGCCCCGAGCAAGATCCAGGGAGAGCCCCTGAGCACTTCCAGGTGTGGCCCTAAAGCTCAATCACCCCAGGCCCCCCAAGAGTAGAAAGGGGGACTAAAAAGGTAACTCAATGCCCTAAGCAAAGGAGGAGGCTCAATCCCCAGTGTAGCCGATTCCCTGAGCACCCCTGAGTAATGTCCCAAAACAAAGAAACAAAATGAAAACACAGGGGCTGGAGATACCACACTGTGGGTAGGGCATCTGGTCAACCCAGATTCAATCTCTGGCAACCTATCTGGTCCTCTGATCTCTGCCAGAGTGACCCTTGAGCACAAAGCAAGGAGCAAGTCCCGAGCACTGCCAGGTGTGGCCCTGCAAAAAGTAGCCCTGCTGAGGGGATATGGCTCAGTGGCCAAATGCAAACTATAAACCTATCAAACAAAACTTGAGGAAACATCTGCTTTGTTTTGGCCTTGGGTTCACACATGGTGGTTCTCAGGGTTCATTCCTGGGACTCGATGTGGCCTAGAGGATCAAACCTGAAGGGTCTCTTGCAAGGCAAAACGACTTCTGCACCGTACTATCACTCTGGCCACTTTTGATTTTCTACAGACCATCTAGTGCATTTATTTGAGGTTTTCGGGGGAGCACCTGGTGGTGCTCAAGGGTCGATCCAGTGGTGCAGCAGATGAAATCCTGGACTCCTGCATGCAAAGCATTGTCCCCCTCAATCCCAACGCGGCCTTTCTCTGCAATTCACCGCAGGAAAGACATGCTCCCGAACCCCCTTAATGCCCCTCCAGTTCAACCAACTTCGGGGGCGGGGGGGGGGCACTGGGGTGCACTGAGGGTCTCAGAATACGCGGTGCCTGCACACCACGCAAGCGCCTTAAGCCTTGTACTACCTCTCCCGCCACACGGGTGCACTTAAGGCTTAGACCACAGCAGTTGTGAAAACGAAAAACCCTGGATTCCAGGAGCCCAACCGCCTGCGGGTCTCCGAAATCAAAAACGCTCAGGAAAGGGCGAACACTTCACAGCCTTGTGGCAGCTGGTCAGTATCCGGAGAAAAACATAACGGGAGCCCTTACCCCGTGAGACTTTAGTCGGGGCCCCGTTCCCCACCAAGCCTTTCCGACCCGCGCCACAGCGCAGAGCCCCAAGTCCCAGCCTTCCTCTCGCTTCCGGGGACGGCGAGGCGCGGGCGGGGCGGGGCGGGCGCGCGCGAGGCGCAGGCGCATTGGCCGTCGTGGGCGTGGCCCCGCCTCCCGCCCCGCCTCCCCGCGGGGTCAGAGGGACGGAGCCTCCCGCCTTCCGCCCGGCGCGGTCACGTGACGGAGGCGGCGCGGCCGCGCGAGGCCGCCGTGTTCTCACCTTTCCCCTCCAGCCTCCTTCCACCTGAGGGAGATCTTTCTCGAACGTCTTCCCGCGTCCGCTCGGCGGGGTGGGCCGTTGGACTCCCCCTGGCCGAGAGCCGGGGACTCGCCCACCTCGGGGCCCGGCGTCCACGCGCGGCGGCGGCGGCGCCGAAGGGGCGGGCCGGGGTCGGGCCGAGGCGGGGCGGGGCCTCGGCGCGGGGCGGGGCCTCGCGCGGGGCCGGGGCTGCTCTTAGGGCCGCGGCCGCCGGTGTCGCCGTCGCTGTCGCCGTCGCCGTCGCCGTCGCCGTCGCCGTCACCGTCACCATGAATCCGGACCTCCGCCGCGAGCGGGCCGCTGCGAGCTTCAACCCGGAGCTGCTCACCTACGTCATCGATGGCGGCATCAGCAAAACCCGGCGCCGCCGGGAGATCGGTGAGGGCGGCGGGCGCGGGGTCGGGCCGGGCCGGGCCGGGTCGTGTCGTGTCGTGTCAGGCCGGGTCCGGTCGTGTCGTGTCGTGTCGTGTCGGGTCAGGTCGGGGGACGCCCCGCCGCCCGCCCTCACGGCCTCTGTCTCCCCCGCCGCCCCGGCGCCGCGCAGAGAACCAGATCCTCAGCGACCCCGACTTCCAGCAGCAGAACGTGAACTTCCTGAGCCGCGGCGAGCGCTACGAGGCGGCCGTGAAGAAGAGCGCCTACATGGTCAAGAAGCTGCGCGACTTCGGCATCGCCGACCCCGACGAGATCCTCTGGTTTAAAAGGTAGGTCGGTCGGTCGGTCGGTCGGTCCTTCCCGGGCGTGGCCGGCGTCCCGGCCCCCCCACTCCCACCCGTTCTTGCAGCTTGGGACCTCCGCCGAGGCATGGAAAATAACGGTGACCTTTGCGTCTTGCGCCTAGGGCCCACTGGGCCAGCTGTAGAATGCCGAGCCTGGGACGCGGCCACATTCTTGCTCAAGAATCCTTCACATTCTGGCAGCGCCAGCGCTGAGATCTTGAGGGATTTCAGTGCAGAACGACCTTGCTCTTTGTCTGATATCAGGCCCGCCGGATTGAAAGCCCGAGTTCAGGAGGGGAAAAAGGGAAAAAAAAATTTACTGTGAATGATTATTCTTTAGAACTTTTTTCAGGGGCAAGCCCAAGCGTGTGAAATATTTGGAAATGTGAACCAGTGTTTCTAATTTTCTGTCCTAGTGCGGGCGTTGAAATTATGATTCTGGTTTGGGTCCACACCCTGCAGTGCTCAGGGCTCACTTCTGGCTCTGTGCTCAGGGATCTCTCCTGGCAATGATGCATGGGGGTTATCTGAGGTGACAGGGATTGGCTGCGTGCAAGGCAGGTACCTTCTCAGCTGAGCTATCTTTCTGGCTCTGGATGTTGAATTTATGTATTTATCGATCACACTTGGCAGTGCTCAGGGCTTACTCCTGGCTCCTAGGCGTATCACTCCGGAGTGATACTCCTAGGTATCACTCCTGGCGGGCACAGGAAACCATATGGGGTGCTGGGGATTAAACGTGGGTTGACCAGGGGCAAGGCAAACAACCTAGCCTCTGTACTATCACTCCAGCCCATCTGGATGTTGAATTTGAAAACCTGGAACCTGGGCCAGAGGGGTAGTACCGTGGGTAAGGCTCTTGCCTTGCACACCGTCAACCTGGGTTCAATCCCCAACACCCTGTGTCTCCAGAGCCCACCAGGAGAGATCCCTGAGCACTGCCGGGTGTGGCCCCAAATACCAGAAACAAACAACACTTGCCTTGTATGGGTGAGGCCCGGGTTTTGATTGTCATCTCTGCACAGTTCCCTATGGGCACCCCAAAGCTAAGGCAGTGCTTGGTGCATTGTGTTTGTGAGTTCGTTAGATTTTCGAATGTCACCAGCTGTGCTTCCTAATGTGGGACAAGGCTGGAGTGAACTCACAGTGAAACAGAGCCGTGTCCTCCATGTGGCGTAGAAGTCAGCCGGCACCAGTCACTTCTGTAGTATCACCTTTCGTGATGCATCCCTTGCTGTTGGGAAATAGAAAGTACAAACTTGAAACAGCTAAATATAAAGTACAAATGAACATTCCCTTTGACATTCTTCACATGTTCCTGTTCTACAGTGTAACAGGAAGAGAAACTTCAAGCTAGAGATGGGGACTGGAAATTAGCCTTGACGTTTATTGAATGCCATTGACTCTCTGACTTCTGTGCCCAGAACAGAACTCAGGCCTGTCTTTTTGTGTCACAAAGAAAAATACTGCCAGTTCCCTCTTCGAAACACCATTGTGAAATGAACTGGATTTCTTAAGTGCTAAATTTGCCAGGTTGGGGTGTAAGGATCATAGGCCTAAAATTGATCAAAGCGGCGCTAGAGCAATTGTACAGCAGGTAGGGCATTTGCCTTACACCCTGCCGATCCGGGTTCAATTTCCCAGGTTACTGCCAGGAGTAACCCCTGTGCATCACCAAAAAGCCAAAAAAATTTTAAAAAATTAAGATTTTTGGAAGCAAGATTTCTCTTCCCGGAGATTGAGGGCATTTACTGGTTCTCTTGCATCAGTTTCTCCTTATGAGAAAGTAAAACAATGTTTTGAAGTTCACTGAATATTATTTTTTGTTTTTATTTATTGTTTTGAAGCCATACCCACCAGTGATCAAGGCTTACTCCTGGCTCTGCACAGGGATCACTCCTGGTGGGCTCAGGGAACCGTATGGGGAGCAAGAGATCGAACCCAGGTCAGCCGCTTGCAAGGCAAGCACCCTACCCACTATACTATCTCTCCAATCCCGTAGTAAAATATCGAGGTTTCTCAGCTTGATCAGTAGAAGAACCCTGGGGCTGGAGCGGTAGCACAGCAGGTAGGGCATTTGCCTTACACGAAGACAACCTGGGTTTGATTCCCAGCATATCCCATATGGTCCCCGAGCACCGCCAGGAGTAATTCCTGAGTGCAGAACCAGGAGTAACCCCTGTGCATCGCTAGGTGTGACCCAAAAGGCAAAAAAAAAAAAAAAAGGTAGAGTAGAAGAACCCTGTTTCTCCTCAGTCCTTGGGGAAATACGGTTCATAGTTTGGTACTTGTATAAGATGTTTGCTTAATCACCTTTCCTGCAAAATTTAAAAAAATTTTCTATGAGAAGAAAACTGACTAAAATGTTCTTGAGAAGGGCTGGAGCAATAGCACAGCGGGTAGGGCGTTTGCCTTGCACACAGCCGACCCAGGTTCGATTCCCAGCATCCCATATGGTCCCCCGAGCATCGCCAGGAGTCCTGAGTGCAGAGCCAGGAGTAACCTCTGAGCATCGCTGGGTAAGGTAAAGGCCCTCCCGTTGATCGTCGATTTGCTCGAGCGGGCCCAGTAACGTCTCCATTGGAGACTTTGTTGTTACTGTGTCTGGCATATCGGATACTCTCGGTAGCTTGCCGGGCTCTCCGAGAGGGGCGGAGGAATCGAACTCGGGTCGGCCATGTTGGCCGCTTGTAAGGCGAACGCCCTACCGCTGTGCTATCGCTGGGTGTGACCCAAAAAGAAAAAATAAAGGTTCTTGAGAAAGCTCAACCAGTATGCACAGTTACTTTGCATGAGAACTTTGGTTTGATCTGTAGGAGGTTATGGTTCCTCCAGCACTGCTGGGTGTGGCCTAAAGGACAAACAAAAATGTAATTTAAAATTCTAATGAGAATCAGTCCAGATTTTCCTTTTTCTTCTGAGGTTTTTAAAGCTTCTTATTGTGGCCTGAGCAGTAGTACAGCGGGTAAGGCACTTGCCTGGCGTGCCGCTGACCCGTATTTGATCCCTGGTATCCCTTATGGTCCGCTGAGCCTGCCAGGAATAACCTCTGAGAACCACCAGGTATGGCTAAAAAACAAAAATAAATAAAAGATTGTTCTTTTAAAAGCATTTTTAGGTTTTAAGATAAGTTAAATATAAAGATCCTAAAGAGGGGCTAGAGCAATAGCACAGTGGGGAGGGCGTTTGCTTTGCACATGGCCGACCCAGGTTCAATTCCCAGCATCCCATATGGTCCCCCAGCACCGCCAGGAGTAGTTCCTGAATGCGTGTGCCAGGAGTAACTCCTGAGCATCGCTGGGTGTGACCCAAAAGGAAAAAAAAAAGATGCAAATGAGATCTCTTTCCTTTTTGATCCACTGCCAGCAGTGCTCCAGACTTGCTACTCCTACCTGTGTTCTCAGGGATCACTCCTGGCAGGCTTGGAAACCTCTGGGGTGCTGGGATCAAACCTGGTTGGCCACAGGCACGGCAGACTCCCTATTCCCAGGAGAGATTTTCAAAATGTGTTTTGGCTTTGAGACCATACCTGGTGGTGCTCAAGAAAGGCTTACTCCTGGGTTGTGCTCAGGGATCACTTCTGGTGCTACTGGGAACCGAGTGCAGTGCTGGGGTTAGCAACGTGCAAAGCAAGTTCCTTATTCTCTGAATTATTTCTCGATCCCAACCCCAGATGTTATTCTTTTTTTGGGGAGTGCGCAGTGTTACTCTTTTGGGGAGGGCACACCTGGTGATGCTTAGGGATTACTCCTGGCTCTATGCTCAGGGATCACTCCTGGCAGGATTTAGGGAACTATATATATGAGGTGTCAGAGATCGAACTGTGTTTGCTGTGTACAAGGCTAATGCTCCACCCACTGCACTATCACTCTGGGCCCTCCCCTGATTTTATTCTTGTATTAACTTCCAAATGATCTCTAAAAATTTCTGAATTTGTTAATGCTTGTAAGCATTTGATGGTTTTTGTTTATTTTATGTCAATAGCATCATTTTATAAGCCCAGAATAACTTTATTGAGTTGTTCTTGGCCCCTTCACTTCTCCTGTTTTACGTAGTGCCATCATTGCTTCTGCTTCTCAGGATTTCTTGTGTAATCAATTTCTTCCAATAAAATGTGATGGGGGGCTGGAGCAATAGAACAATGGGTAAGGTGTTTGCCTTGCTTGCCACCATCCTGGGTTCGATCCCCAGCATTCCATATGGTTCCCCAAGCACTGCCAGGAGTAATTCCTGAGGGCAGAACCAGAAGTAACCTGTGAGCATAATTGAGTGTGACCCAAAAAGCACCCCCCCCAAAAAAATAGTGGGGCTGCCTTACCCTTTTGAGAGAATGATCCTTGTATTGATCTAATGAATTGTTCCCTTTCAGTGAGGAATGAGGCAGGGTGTTTATGTAAAGGTGTGGCCTCTGCCTCATAGTAGCAGGAAGCAGTGTGAGTTGCTGACTTGACTCACTCCTCTCCTTTCATGCCCTTTCTTCCCTTCACTTAGTTTAACATTTGATGTTGGTATAAAAAAAAAAACAGAATCTCAGGGTTAGAGTTTTTCCTACAGTGACTATTTCGTGTCCAGTGATTACTTGGATAGTTGAGTTTTTGTTTGTCTCCAACCTCCCCGGAAGGTGATCTTGTGTCTCTTTTCTTCCTTTCCTATTTTTTGGGTGGGTGGATTTGGTTTTGGGGCCACACTAGGCAGTGCTTGGTGCTTATTCCTGGTTCTGTGCTCAGGGGTCACTCCTGGTGGTGCTGGGGGACCATACTTGGTGCTAGTAATCAAACTGGAGTCAACCACATGCAAGGGAAGGTCATTGACATCTCCTGTACTATCACTCTGGCTCCTAATCTTATTCTCTAAACTTATGCCTGAATCAGCAAAGAAAACATTTTTTCCACTGATGCTAATGAGTGGCTTCTATTGATTTTCAGGTGCGATTTAAAGCACAGTTACAGAAACACCAGATAAATAGTGATGACATCAGGGTCAAGAACCTAGCTCAGGTCAGGGCCAGAGAGAGGACAGCTGGTGGGGTGCTTGCCTGCATGTGGCCAACCTGGGCTGGATCCATAGTACCCAGTAGGTCCCCAGCCCACTAGGAGTGATCTTAGAGCCTGGACCCAGGAGTAAGCCCTTTAGTACTGGGTGTGGTACAAAAATAAAAGGGCGTGTGCCTTGCACGCAGCCAACCTGGTCACCCCAGTTCGATTCCTCCGCCCCTCTCAGAGAGCCCAGCAAGCTACCCAGAGTATCTCGCCCGCACAGCAAAGCCTGGCCAGCTACCGTGACGTATTTGATATGCCAAACACAGTAACAAGAAGTCTCATGATGGAGATGTTACTGGGCCTGCTCGAGCATATTGATGAACAACAGGAGTACAGTGCTATAGTGCTAGTGCTTTTTGGGTCACACCCGGCGATGCACAGGGGTTACTCCTGGCTCTGCACTCAGGACTCATTCCTGGCGGTGCTCGGGGGACCATGTGGGATGCTGGGAATCGAATCAGGTCGGCTGTGTGCAAGGCGAGCGTCCTACCCGCTGTGCTATCGCTCCAGCCCCAATAAATAAATTTGTTAAAAAATGAATGTAGCTTAGTGATAGAGCACTCGATTTGCATGCAGGATTTGCTTCCCTGATCCTGTAAAAGGAGGGGAGAAAAAGAGAGGACATCTATGATTAACCTGTTCCTTTCAGCTAGAGTTATTAATGTTTCTAAGTGGATTATGATTGGTATGAGAAAACTAACTTATATACTATCTTGGATGTAGGACAAAATATGTTGTGTTTACTTTTCTTTTTTTCGTTTTTGGTTTTGCGTCACACCCAGCCATGCTCAGGGCTTACTCCTGGCTCTGCCCTCACTCCAGCCATGGCTGGGGGACCATATAGGGTTCTGGAGATTGAATTTGGGTCAGCCACGCGTAAGGCAAGCGCCTTACCCACTGTGCTGTCTCTCCAGCCCCTGTTCGTTCTTTCAAGGTGGTGTGGTGAGGGCCTTCCCCAGTGAAGTGAAGCATTCCCCACCTTTCCTATAGTTCATGCCTTGCTATTTATTCCACTATTATTTTTCTTATAAAATAATCGTTTTCCTAAAATAATAGTTGAAGAACTAATAGTTTAATTATGGTTAGAGTTCTCTTAGCCTGGAGTAACGTCCAAAGGCCATGTTGGTTAAAATTAAATAAATATCTTTTTGTAAACTCTGGAGATCTTCAGCAATTCTTGACCCTGGCACACATACTATCCTAGCTTCACTTTACTTTAGAAAGAGAGTTTTTGTTTGGGGCTAGACTCAGCAGTGCTTGGGGCTTACTCTTGGCTCTGTGCTTATGGATCATTCCTGGCAGGAGTCTGGGGACCATGTGTGGTATCCAGCATCGAACCCAGTTTAGCTGCATGCAGAGCAAACACCCTACCCACTGTACTATCTCTCCAGCCCCAAAGAGAATTTTCTTGTTTTTTTTCTTTTTTGCGGGGGCGAGGGAGGCAGGGGAGGGAAGAGGCATCCCTGGAAATGCTTGGGCTATTGCTGGCTCTGTGCTTGGGTTAGCTGCTAAGGCAAGTGTTCTCAGGGGACCATATGGGATTCCAAGGATGACTGGGGCTTTTTTTTTTTCTTTTTGGGTCACACCCGGCAATGCACAGGGGTTATTCCTGGCTCTGCACTCAGGAATTACCCCTGGCAGTGCTCTGGGGACCTATGGATGCTGGGATGCTGGGAATCAAACCCAGGTTGGCTGCGTGCAAGGCAAATATGCTACCGCTTTGCTATTGCTTCATCCCCCTTCTTTTGATTTTTAAAGGAATCACTTAAAACCTGGAAGTAAAACAAACATACAGTACACAAAGTCCATTCAGTCCAGACTCGGATATGGCTCAGTGACAGCACGTAACTCTCACATGTGAGGTTGTAATCATAACAGGTTCGGGGAATAAAAATGTTGTTAAGTAACTCCCACAGCGAGTAATATCAACCGAAAAAAGGGGTTGAGGGCGTAAAACTAATGGATGGCATTTGCTTCCAGAACTCATGTAGATTTAAAGGAAAATTTCAAAATGTGGATTTTGAAACGGCTAAAGGACAAGGAGATACCAGCGTGTATCACTGCCCTTCAGGTGGCGACATGGCACATTTCAGTTTATTGAGAAGGGACTTCGGATTTCCCTCCCTTCATCCTGCGGTCCATGCCATGTAGCAAGGATGGGGTGGTAGGACGCACTATAGAGTAAGGCTGAGATCCTTTTCTTTTCTCTCCCGTAGACTACAATTGAGCAGTTTTGTGGAACCCGTGGGCCTCAATTTCTCCATGTTTATTCCAACCGTGGTGAATCTGGGCACCCCTGCTCAGCAGGACAAATGGCTGCTTCCGTCCCAGGAACTCCAGATAATTGGCACCTACGCCCAGACCGAGTTGGGCCACGGTTAGTCCTCTGCTGAGGGTCAATGGGTTCCCCACCTCAGGACTTCTTTTGGCATTCGATTTTTTTTTCCCCCTTACTGCTACTTACACTTCTGAGATTTTGTTTCAGAGTTGATAAATTGTTAACAAAATTCCCTTTCTCATAGGTCATTTCCCCGTCAGCTGGCCCAGGACTCTGGCTGAGACATTCTTCACCATTCTTTCTTGAAATGTTTACCTTTGTTCCCTTCACACCGTTTGAATAATAGATTTTGAACCATTTAGAAAGACGACTTTGGGAATCTAGCAAAGTCCCCCCTAATATTGGTGTCTGTTAAATAATTTGTTGGAATTCCTGCAAGCAGTAAAGCACTTGGTAACTTCCGGAAGAAGCTTCTCTGATCTAGTGAATTTTCAAGTTTCCCTTTGGTGTTCAATTTGTTGATTTCTTTGAGAATTGGTGAATGTTCCTTCCCGTAATTCCTCGGTACAGATGGGGCGTGAACATTCTGTGGGTCTTCCAGGATTGCCTGAGCATGAAGCTCTTTCTGGATGGAAATTCGGAGCCTGAGGGATGGTCTGCAGGAAGGGCGGGTAGGTGGATAGCTAAGAAGAAATACAGAGTAAGAGAGGAAGGCAGGGAAGAAAAGTGGTTTTTAACCCATTTAGCTTTATGGTACAGAATCTGGAGCTGGGCCCACAGCTACTGCCTGTAAAGCATATTCCCAGCCCATTGGACTTGCCCTGGCCCTACGAGCTTCTTTTTTTCAGTATTCATTGAGTTTGACATAATTTTGTATTCATAGAAGTTGTAGGGTATAAATTATTCTAGATTGAATGGGTCTGGATGTGTATCTCTCTCTTTCTCTCTCTGTGGTTTTTTTTTTTTTTTTTTTTTTTTTTTGCTGCTTGGGTTACTCCTGAATCTGCACTCAGGAATTACTCCTGGCAGTGCTCGGGGGACCATATGGGATGCTGGGAATCGAACCTGGGTCGGCCACGTGCGAGGCAAATGCCCTACCTGCTGTGCTATTTCTCTAGCCCCCCAAGATGTGTATCTCTCAGTCTAATACTGCCACTGTAAATGCTTTGTCCTGTTTATATTTCTGAGATTTTGATAGAGCCACAGTATTTAAGGCAAGTGTTCTCAGAGAGTTCTGGCTGTAACTCTTGAGTTTGGGATTCTAGCCTCTGGACAGTTGCTGAGAAATGAAGAGACTCAACCCCCCTGAGTTCAGTCCCCACAAATAGCCTGTCTCTGGTTTGTCTCCCCTCTCTCTCTGGGGAAATGAACCTCTGCGCCCCCTCAGTGGGTCTTTGAGCCTCTGAGGCAGAGGATTTGTAGCCTTGTGGGACAGTGGGAAACTTGATCCCATCATTAATTGTCCTTGACCTCCAGGTCACAAAGCAGGTAGTTTAGTATTCATAGGTACTTGATTGCTTAAGAGTCTGACCACAACAGATGTTTTTCCCTGCATACTTGTTATCATTACTAGGACAGTTTTTTTCCTGTGTGTCATTTTCATCCTTTAGATGAAGCAATATTTCTGCTCCTATGAAATAAGACACACCTTTCTTTGAAACTTGAGCTCTCTCCTGGACTCTTTCTCTCTCTCTCTTTTTTTTTGGGGGGGGTCACACCCAGTGATGCACAGGATTTACTCCTGGCTCTGCACTCAGGAGTTACTCCTGGAGGTGCTCAGGGGACCATACGGGATGCTGGGAATCGAACCTGGGTCAGCCGCGTGCAAGACAAACGCCCTACATGCTGTGATATCTCTCCAGCTCTCTCCTGGACTCTTTTTTGATTTGTCTTTTCGGGTCATGCTCAGCAGTGCTTGTGGCTATTCCAGTCAGTACTGGGCGATCATGCAGTGCTGGGGATCTGACTGACCTCCCGCATGCAAAGCCTGCTAGCTCAGTGAGTGATCTCTCTTGCCCTCCTGGCTCATTTTTTGGTGTGTAATGAGGGGTGGTGCTCAGGGCTTACTTCTGGTTTTTCCCTCAGGGATCACACCTGGCGGGCTTGGGGGACCCTGTGGGATGTTGGGGAATCAAACTTGGGTCAGCTACATGCAAGCCAAGCACGCTACCCTCTGTACCATCTCTGCCCCTCTTCCCTTTTTTATGTTGAATACTTTGACTTGTGTGTGATGTGGAGTAAGGGCGAGCCCTGTTGTTTTCTATGTTAAAATATATTTAAAATCTGACAAGATGGGCCTGATCCTATTCAAGATATTTGGTGTGTTTGCGTACTATATTTTTTAGACAAATTCAGATCTTTGATTTGTCAAGTTCTAAGATACATTCTTACATTAAATCTTTGTATTTTTTTGGGGGGGGGGCTGTAAATACTTTATTTAGTCTTCTCAACTGGGAATTAGCTGTTTCTGCTCTGTTCATAGTTGTTCATCCTGTTTAGGTTTTTTTTTTTTTGGGGTCATACCCGGCGATGCACAGGGGTTACTCCTGGCTCTGCACTCAGGAGTTACTCCTGGCGGTGCTCAGGGGACCACATGGGATGCTCGGAATCGAACCCGGGTCGGCCGTGTGCAAGGCAAACGCCCTACCCACTGTGTTATCTTTCCAGCCCCCTGTTTAGTTTTTCTTAATGATGATTTTGGACTAAGTTACTAACAAATTTAAAATATTTTGTAAATGTCTCATATCGGCTTCTGTTTGAATAAAAATGCAATGATTCCCCCTCTTGTTACCTGTAGCTTTCCTAATTTTATTCATTAATTGGATTTTGCATTGATTTCCAAGGACCATAATTGTGCTGCCCATGGAGTTGCTATTTTGATTTCTTTCTTTCTCACATGTTATTAATTAAATCATTTTGTCCTCAGTCTTGGCTCTCGACTTCCCAGCCTGTATCATGCGGAAGGGGAGAATGAGGGAAAGCCTTTTGGTGTTGTGGTTTGAAATAACTAGCTAACCCCTCTCTAGGCAAAATGTTTGTACTTTTTAGTGTTTCCTTATTGTTTGGTTGGTTTTGGGGCCAGGCACCCAACTGTGCTGAAAGCTAACTTCTGGCTCTGCACTCAAGGAATGGAATTACTCCAGGCAGGCAGTGCTCGGGGGACCGTAGTGGATGCTGGGGATTGCGTCCCGTCTGTCTTGTGCAAGGCAAACGCCCTAGAGGCCCTACTATCTCTCCAGCCCCCAGGAGGTTTTAAAATTACTTCAAGGTAATGCATAACCAACTTGTGGTTGCATCAGAGAAAACTCCAGGAGACTTTCTCTGTACCGCTCCAATTCGCTCCCATTCCTGGGTGATCTTTACCTTAGGCGAAAGAGACAGTTTTTGCTTAGGACATTCTGCACTTTCCAGATAGTTTCTGACTGCAGGTGTATCCATCCTGCTCTCTGCCCTGCGCCAAGAAACCCACACCCGCCCACAGCAGCTGGCCACTGGCCCTTCCAGGAGTCTTCTGGGCCACTCAGACCCTCTCTCCCTGGCACTGTTCTGGGCCTGGTGATGCCAGATCGCCTCCTTGAACTCACAGAGGCTGGTCCAGTTTTCCACACACAGTTTGCTTGCTCCTTCAGTTCCAGGCACACGTTACCTTTTTGTTCTTCAGCCCTGTTGTTGAAGAATGGTATTCCTGTTTGAGTGTTCACCTCTTACCCCTTGGATGGGTTTTTCCAGGAATTCCCCTAAACTGTTTTTCCAAGACCTCTAGATTCCCTGGAAACTTCAAATTGCTGAGGGAGTTTCTTTTAAATTGTGTGTGTGTGGGTGGGTCAAGCCACGCCTGGCTGTACTCAGGGTTTACCCCTGGCTCTGCACTCAGGGATCTCCTAGCAGGCTTAGACCATATGGGGTGCTGGCGACTGAACCCAGGTCGGCTACATGCAAGGCAAGCGCCTCCCTGTGGTTCTGTCTCTGGCCTGCAGCACCAGAGAGAGTTCAGTGGGCTGAGCGCATGGTTTGCTTGTGGAAGGCCTGGGGTTAGGCCTGCACCTTGGTCACCTGAGTGCCACCAGACTGACTACTCCCTGACTAGAGCTGGGAGTAGCTTCTAAGCACTGCTGCTTGTTGGCCTCGAGTCGAATCTAATCATCCAGAAATGATTCTTTGGCCGTTTGGCCATACACCTAGTAGAGCTTGGAGGCTGTTTCCAACCCCGTACTTAGGAGTTCACTCCCAATGGTACTCAAGGGGACCACAGGTGCAGGTGATGGAGCCCAGGCCTCTTGCATGCAAAGCATGTGGTAAGCCTCACTGAACTCTTTCTCTAACCCAAGGATGCACTTTGTAGAAGTACAGTCTCATACTCCTTCGAAATGTATGTTACCACACCTGTCGGTATTGCTTCACCACCTCCAATAACACCCCCCCCAACAATAAACTCCTTTCCCTTTTCAGCCCTCTTTTTGGATAACCTTGAATATTCTGCCTCATTTCTTAGAATTGAGAATATGAGTTGTCAGGGCCATAATGATAGTACAGTGGGTTGGGTGTTTGCCTTGCATGTGGCCGACCCAGACTTAATCCCCAGCATCCCCTATGGTCCTCTGAGCACCACCAGGAGTCTGAATGCAGAGCCGGGAGTAACCCCTGGGCACTGCTGGGTGTGGTCCAAAAAAGCAAAAAAAAAAAAAATATATATATATATATTTAAAAATGCAGTGTCAGTAACATGGAAAAATTCAGAGACATACATAACTATTTTTAGTATAATTCACACAGAAGGCGACAGTATGAGCATCTAATTTTATTATTTTATTTTATTTTGTTTTGGGGCCATATCTGGTGGTACTCAGGACTTACTTCTGGCTCTGCACTCTGGAATCACTCTAGGCAGACTTGGGACCATGTGGGGTGCCGAAGGTAGAACCAGGTCATCTGTGCAAGGCAAACGCCCTCCCCGCTGGACCAGCTTACTGCCCCTAAAGCACCCAATTTTAAATAACAAAGAGTGACTTTAGAAAATGGATTATTTTAGATCTTAACCAAGATGTTTATTAAAACTTGTGATAAACCAATTTGATTGTAATGAAAACCTTGTTATGCATGAGTCTGTTACTTAAAATTCCTATGGTCTTTACTAGAAATCATGTCTTTTTAATCATGAAATTACTGGAATGACGAGAGCACAGTCATTTTCTGTTCAAAGTGGTGTGACTTGCCCTGGGCTGGGAGGTGCCTGTAAGCATCATTGCGACGCCCCCACCTCACTTCCCAGAGTCCCTTATGCACAGCCTAAATTCTCCATTCGGAACAGCCCCTTCAAAGTTTGTCATTCCCTTGGATTCCATGGCAGGCCTGCAGTCCCCTGCTCACAGGCCTTTTGTGCTGTCCAGGAATTGGAATTAATAGCCAACCCCTGCCACGGATCCTGGTCTTGGCAGAGGAGGGCTCAAAGAAAATAGCTTGACAGCGTCAGAAAACGGGCACCCACTTGTACATTTGTTAACGTGATACAGAAAAGGACCGTGCTCTCCCGTGGCAATGGCCACCTAATGAAATTGGAACTTACAGATGGTTTTTTTTCTCCTCCTCTCACTCATTGCTGATTCTCTTGTCACCTGATGATGCTTCTCAAATGCCCGCCCTCGGTGTTGGCCTTGAAGTTTTGTGCACCGAGGGCAGCCTGAGCCCCTGGATCTCCACTTGGGCATGTTCCTGCCCACCTTGCTTCACCAGGCAACTGCGGAGCAGCAGGAGCGCTTCTTCATGCCCGCCTGGAACTTGGAGATCATTGGCACTTATGCCCAGACCGAGATGGGCCATGGTAGGGCGTGCATTCAGTCTACGCTCGGGGTTGTCGGGTGGGTGCTGCCTGGTGGGGTACGGTGTGCCTGCCCACTGCTCGTTGGGTACACTGTGATCACTCTATAAGTCAGCCTGGTGCTGAGGCCAGGGCTCCCGCACAGCCCTGCCCTGGCAAAAGCACTGTTTTGGTCAGTGGAAAGGAAAGGTCATGTTGTCACAGAGATAACACAGATTAATTGGTCTGGTTCCACATCAGAAGGTTGAGAATTGCAAGTTGTTGGTGCAAGTTCACAGAAGCTGGGTAGAGTGTATGTAGTACCAAGGTTCAGGGCCTGCGTTTCACTGGGGAAGAGCATGTGTGCTTTTGAGGGATTGTGTCTTCAGTGACCACAGTGAGAAGTGTCTAAGACCTGAGAATTTGACCTTCGGTCAGCGTTTCTGTAAATTTAGCCAAGTGCTGAAAGTGACTTTGCCAAGAAACAGCAAAAAGTAAGATTAAACACACTTCCCAGAGGTCGGTTCTCAGCTCTGGCATTTAGCCATTCCCATTTCCCACCTGCCCTCTTTGGGCTTGCGGGGGCTGGGAGGTTTCTGTTGCCATTGCTTCTGAGTTGATATGTTTGCTGTTTGTCTGTGTCTGGCTTCTCTTTGTACGGAGCCATTTCAGAAGGACTGACCTAGTGAAGGTTTGCCACTTGCTGCTGAGTGCTGCACAACTGTGTCTTCACTTGATCAGTGATCTGGTGCTCGGCTTCTGTGCTGCTGGGGGTGTTTAAAAACAGTTGGTCTGTGAAAGTTGTCTGCGGCCCGATCCCAGCTCCGGGGAAGGTTGTGAATCACAGAGAAGCTGTTCATTCTGTTTTTCACCTTGAAAGTTCCTGAAAGTTTCCAAATTTAAGCATTTATTAAGACGATCTGGCATTATCAAAGCAATTTGATAAAAAGTCCACATTTCAGTGGAGTATTAGCAGGGGGGAATGTAACTTTAATGCTTTTTCTGCAATCGTTTTCTAAGCATTTGGTTGATTTGCAGTAGGACTTGTTTGAAACAATTATCAGTCCATCTCCAGGTTGGATTGGAACTGGCTGTCTTACTTGTGCAGGTGAACCAGAACTCCTCCTGCCTGGGGCTCGATGGAAATGAGCAAGAGAGGCATTTGTGACTTTTCTTTCTCAGAAAGCCACCGCAGCTCTGCCCCAGAGCTTCCTTCCTGCAGGTTATGCCTAAGTCCTAGTTTTCCATTGCAGCAATCATTTCTGGAATAGACAGCTTGCAGAGTGTTAGCTGGAGTCTCTGATCCCCTTGTCTAGTCGTTGTTATTTTTAAAAAATTGCAGAACTTTTGTTCATTGTGGTGAGTACAGTTCCTCTGAGTGGAATGGAGCATACTTGGAATGTTGAGGCCGGTTTAAGAGACTCTCTCTTCTCTGAATGAGCAGGTTAATTTCCTGTTTTGTGATCTTATGAAAGGAGTATAAGCTGCCTTTACATTGTCTTTTGGTTGATATAAATACATAGGTAGAAATGTTATAGATTTTCTATAGAGGGTCACAGCAGAAGGACGTTTAGAAACTTCATCTTCGATATCTGTACTTTCAACTAAAACTGATTTAAGTGTAGAAGATTATGTCTCTTCTTTATAATTTTTTGGGGGGAGGAGGGATTGGATCACACCTGGGGATGCTCAGAGGTTACTCCTGGCCTCTCACTCAGGAATTACTCCTGGCGGTTTTGGGGTACCCGGTGGAATGCCAGAGGATTGAACTCAAATGGGCTGCATGCAAAGCAAACGCCCTAACTGCTGACCTATCACTCTGGCCCCAATTTGAAGCTCATCTATATTTTATTCTTGATTTTCTGTTCTGTTTTGTTTGGGGGCTATTCCTGGTGGTGTTTCAGACTGAGCCCACGCTTCAGGAATTTGGTCAGCTGTCTCTCCAGGCATAGATTTTTTCCCCCTCTTCCTTATAGCTTGAAGAAGTGGGCATGTGTTTTTTATCCTGTACCGTATCCTTTTTTCATGCATTCTCTCTGAAACCGATGTTATTTATTTCTTCAGGAACCCATCTTCGAGGTTTGGAAACGACAGCCACGTACGACCCTGAGACCCAAGAGTTCATTATCAACAGCCCTACAGTGACCTCCATCAAGTGGTGGCCAGGGGGGCGTATGTGAAGTTTCTTTTTAACACGTTAGATATTTGGAACATTGATTTTAAGGTTGTGTTTAAGAGGTAGATCTTATTCTCTGAGAATATTCTGGAATCCAGGAAAAAATCTTCAAACTGTTGATCTCACGATCTCTTGTACACATTACATGTGATTATACAACTTACAAAGTGCAGAAAGGGTAACTTGCTTACTCTGCATTTTGGTTTTTCAACAAACATTCCCATTTATCAGCATAGTTTTTGCTGTCATGTAAGTAAATAAGATTTCCTGTTCATCCGTTCTTTTAATATTGTCAGCATGTCAGTTGTTTTAAGTAAAATCTTCATTGTAAATAGTTTAGCATGAAACTTATTTAAGCTCTTCTTCCATTTTAAGTGATTGTTTTAGAATTTATATTTCAGATTAGTGTTTGGAGGTGTTTTTGATCTCAGGATTTATATTTCAGATTAGCGGTTGAAGGATTTTTTTTCTTTGTGTTACATACTTGAATTACATTAATTAAATTTAAAATTTTTTAAAAATTTTATTATTTTGGGGAGGAGGGCCACACCTAGCTATACCCAGGAGTTACTCCACGCTCAGGAGTTGTTCCTGGTGGTGCCTGGGGGGACCAGATGGGGTGCCGGAGATCATACTTGGTTGATTGAATGCAAGGCAAGTGCCCTCCCTGCTGTACTATTGCTCTAGATCCCACATACGTTTTGTAGTAGTTAAAAAAAAAAATATCGCTATCTTTGCTCTAGCATGCCAGCCATGTAGCTATTGGGCATTTTAAATGTGGCTAGTTGACCAGGTCTTATTCCTGGGTGCGTGTTCAGGGCTCTGGGGATCATGTGGGGTGCTGCGGGTCAAACCCAGGTTACTCATGAGCAAAGCAAGTGCCCTACCCACACTGTAGTGTGTATGCCCCAGCCCCAGGAATCTTTTTTACAATTTTATTTATAATTAAATAAGAACAGACTTGTGACTAGGGGCTACTATTTTGGATATCATCTGCTTTAAGGGAAGGAATAAATTAATATTCTAAGGTCCATTCCAAGCACCATTTGGCTGCCACTCCCGGCACTACTGACCCTTACAATGGCAGCAAAGATAATAAATTGAATCAACATTCAGATGATTACCATAAATTTTATTTTTGTAAGTTAGTGAGAAATAAGTAATGCTATCTTTGGTGCTAGGGACCATGTGGATTGGATCTGGGCCTTTTATGTGCACAGCATGCGCTCTGTCCTCTGAGCTCTCTCTCACCCAGGAATACTCTCTTTAAAATTAAAGAACTATCAGATCAGTACATTACATATCTTAAATTGACTGTATTCTATATCCAGACTTCAGGTACGCATAATGAAGAGATAAATTCAGTAACTATCAGCTTAAGTAGATTTCTTTCAGAAAACCAAGACTTTCTGGGCGTCATTTATTTTATTCAAGTAATTTTTTTTGGTTTTGGGGCCACACCTCGCAGTGTTCAGGGGTTATTTTTTGGCTCTGCTCAGGGGCGTCCCCTGGCCGTGCTCAGGGAGCCATCCCTGCACTCTTCTCCAGCCCGGTGCATGCTTCATTTTTACGGGCTGCTGGTTCTTTTCCTCCCGTTGTTTCTGTCCATTGAAATGTAAGAATGTTTACTCACTTTATTCTTTTTCCTTTGTTGTTGCAGTTGGAAAGACTTCAAATCATGCCATAGTTCTTGCCCAACTCATCACTAAGGGGAAGAGCTATGGATTACATGCCTTCATTGTGCCTATTCGTGAAATTGGGACCCATAAGCCTTTGCCAGGTTAGGATTATTCATCTGAGATTGTAGTGAAAATGAAATCAATCACTGTTCCTCTGCAAAAAATGTTTCACTACATAACTAAAGAGGAAACCTGTATTGGCATAAACATCTTGTGACTTTCCTTTCACCGGTGGTAGGTATTACCATTGGAGACATTGGCCCCAAATTTGGCTATGAAGAGATGGACAATGGCTACCTGAAGCTGGACAATTACCGCATTCCCAGGGAAAATATGCTGATGAAGTACGCCCAGGTATGCCTAGACAGAAAGTAGCAGCTGGGTTGCCCGGAGTGGGGGTTCCTGTGACTGTCTTCCAGCGGGGTTAGAATAATCTGTTCAAAAAAGTAGGGACATGTTTCCACTCCCTGTGATACCTGGACATTGAAATCAAAAGCATTTGGCAGGCCCAAGAGCATATTCCGGTCTGCCAGCCCAGCTGCCCTCAAACCTTTGCCCGCACCAGAACCCTCGGGTAGCCAGGGACTGTGGCTCACATGGGCACTGAGCTTTTGCACTTCAAACAGGCGTCCAGGGGACGGCGAGGCTGCCTTTGGACAGCCGGCCTTTCAGAACTCCTGGCATCAGCCACCACATGTTTGAAAACGGCCTCATCAGCCCCTGGTTTCTCTCTCCAGGTGAAGCCCGACGGTACCTACGTGAAGCCCGTGAGCAACAAGCTGACCTACGGGACCATGGTGTTCATCAGGTCCTACCTGGTGAGTGCAGCTGCCCAGGCCCTGTCCAAGGCTTGCACCATCGCCATCCGGTACAGCGCTGTGAGGCACCAATCGGAAATCACGCCAGGGTAAGAGACCTGCTCCTCAGACCTGACACTTCCTTTTCACTAAGTTTCTGATATTCTTAAGCTATGTCAATGAAAGGCTCAAAGAACTTAAGGCATTTTGAGTTTCTAACTTCCTGTAGTCACTGTGAACCGGATTTGGTGAACGTGACATTAGTTTAAGCTCCCTTTGCCATGGGTCACAGTTTGCTCCCATTCCCTTGCCCTGGCCGTGACTCTATCAGGCTTTTACTCACCAAATGCTCCAGAGAGGTATTACAGAGGGCAGGGTGCTTGCCTTGCCCAGGGCCAGCCTAGGTTCAGTCCGCAGTACCGCATACATTCCCCTGAGTGCCGAGCCAACAGTTAGCCCCGAGAACAGCTTGGGTAACCACAAAACCAAAAACAAGACCAAGGAAAATTGTCAGGAGTGACCTTCTTTGACCTCAAACATTGAGGTCGCCACCTCTGCTCTTCTCCAGAAGTGTGGTCAGGGGACATTCTCTTCACCTTGTACTGAGTGACACCTTGTTTTTGAGTGTTCTGTTTGTTTTGGGGACTCGCCTGGAAGTGTTCGGGGCGGGGAGGGGGGTGGGCAGGCCTGCACCCTCGAAACCTTGTTTATCTTGTCTTCTTCCTGTGAGTCAGCAGGGATTGGGGATGTTTTGACCTCTGTCCTTGTTCCGGGAAGGCTGAGAGAGGGACTTGGCAGCTGGGCTTGGGCTGCACCTAAGGCAGTATGGCAGGTGGCCGAGCAGGTGGTCACTTTCCCCATGTGCTCTGCCTCCTGGGGCCCCCGGGTACCAGCGCTCCGTTCTCATGTGTGCTCACTTGCTTTTCTCCATGCACTGCAGTGAACCAGAGCCACAGATTCTGGATTTTCAAACCCAGCAATACAAGCTCTTCCCACTCCTGGCCACCGCCTACGCCTTCCAGTTTGTGGGTGCATACATGAAGAATACCTACCTTCGGGTGAATGAAGACATCAGCCGGGGGAACCTGAGCGAGCTGCCTGAGGCATGTCCCCTTCACTTCTGTTCTCTGTACCGGATACAGTTCCCGAGAAGGCCAGACATCGGGCTTTGCGGAGCGAAGCCATATGTTCTCAAAAGATAAAGAAGTTTTTCTGATTAGAAGTGGGGCGGGGAATAGAGAGCTAGTACAGTGGGGAGGGTGCCAACCCAGGTGTGATCCCGGGCACCTTGTATGGTCCCCTGAGCCCGCTAGGCATGGCCCTTGAGTGTGGAGCCAGGTGTGAGTCCTGAGCTGCCGTGTGGCCCCATCCCACACCTCCCCCAAAAAGGAGCAGAGCCAAACCCCAGCGGGGTTGCCTTTCGTGTGGGGCCGATGAGCGCAGCCCGGAGGGCATGTGGGGGTGCTGTTAGCAGGGGGACTCCATGGGGAGAGTGTGGCGGTGGGAGGCTGGGGTGCACCTCCGTGCCGTGTAGGGTCTGAGCGCTCTCGCCCCTGCCCTTAGCTCCATGCCCTCACCGCTGGCCTGAAAGCCTTCGCCACCTGGACGGCCAATGCGGCCATTGAAGCGTGCCGGATGGCCTGCGGCGGACACGGCTACTCTCACTGCAGCGGCCTCCCCAACCTCTATGTCAACTTCACCCCGACCTGCACCTTTGAAGGCGAGAACACCGTCATGATGCTGCAGACGGCACGGTGAGCACCGCCTTCCCCTCCTCCCGGAAGACGGTGTCTCTCATTCCTTTAGTTCTTGGGGGGATGCTGGGTGGTGCTGGCAGGGGAGGGGGCTGCCGGTCCATGGGGAATGTATGTGCTCCTGTCCATGGCTTCTGGTCCCTTGGGGCGCTGTTCACTGGGCTTCAGCATGAGGCGCAGCCGGTCAGCGCTTGGCCCTGGTGGTTTCAGGTACCTGATAAAGAGCTACGAGCAGGTGCGCGCAGGCAAGCTGGTGTACGGCATGGTGTCCTATCTGAACGACCTGCCTGGCCAGCGCATCCAGCCGCAGCAGGTGGCCGGGAGGCCCACCGCCATGGACATCAGCAGCCCCGACAGCCTCGTGGAGGCCTACAGGCTCCGGGCCGCCAGGTTCGCGGTGGGCGTTGATGGGGGTGGGAGGAGCACGGCTGAGGGGGAGGCGGAGCTTCCTGAGCACCCCTTTCCTTGTCTCACAGTTTAGTGGAAATCGCTGCCAAAAACTTCCAAGCTGAAGTGAGTCACAGGAGAAGCAGGGAGGTGGCGTGGAATCTGACTTCCGTTGACCTCGTTCGAGCCACTGAGGTGGGCCATGGCTCTTCCTCCCTGGCTTCACCTGCACATCCTCCCGGCCCCCTGCCCTGTGCTGCGCCCTCCCCAGATTTTCCTCCACTGCCCCCCAGACTACCTTCCCTTCCTGCCCTCCACGCCTCATCCCTTCCGTCGGCCTCACGCCCTGGCGTCCCTCCTTGTGCAGGCACACTGTCACTATGTGGTGGTGAAGCTCTTCGCAGAGCAGCTTCCCCAGATTCAAGACAAGCCCGTCCAGGCGGTGCTCAGGAATCTGTGTCTCCTCTACTCGCTCTATGGAATCAGCCAGAAGGCCGGGGACTTCCTCCAGGTCAGGGTGTTCTGTGTTTGTTCTTGCTTCTTTGCAGTAAATGACAGTTGTTCCCTTTGTAATCATGTACCTGGGAGTTCGTCTGTCCAAGCACGCATTTGTCTGTTTTGCTCCTTCAGGGAGGCATCCTGACGGGCTCGCAGATCAATCAGGTGCGCCAGCGTGTCAAGGAGCTGCTGACCGTGATTCGTCCTGATGCCATCGCTTTGGTGGATGCGTTTGATTATAGAGATGAGAGTCTGGGCTCCGTGCTTGGCCGCTACGATGGCAATGTGTACGAGAACATGTTTGAGTGGGCCAAGAACTCCCCGTTGAACAAAACTGAGGTAACGCCCCTGGGTCTTCTCCGAGTGGGATCAGAGAGTTCTCGCAGCATTTTTCATTCCTGTGCTTCTTTAATAATCGAGGGGAGATTTGGTTCTTGGTTCTTGGGCATAGCCAACTCTGTTCTTGGGAGTCACTCCTGGTGTTACTCGGGGCTCATGTGGTCAAATCCAGGGTTGTCACATGCACAGTTGGCCTGGTCCTTTGAGCTCTCTCGGCTCAGAAGAGTGGGTAAACAGGGTGTTTTCGTGTTTTCCTGTTACCTGACAGAGTGAGGCGAGCAGGGATGCAGCCAAGCGGCAGAGAGCCTGGGTTTGTTGGTGGCTTGGTTTGTTTTTGCCATACTGGAATTAAACTCGGGGTCACATGTGTAGTGCATCCACTCTAGTCCCTGGAACGAGCTCCCTGCTCAGAAAAAGGTCTTGAGATGCTACCTAATCAGGGGCCACTCTTGGTGGCACTCGGCCCTCTGCTGGGGCTGGAAGGAAGGGGCAAGTTGACAATGCCTGGACTCAGTTTCAAACAAGGCTGGTGATCAGATGTGAAGCATGGTCTCCTGTCTGTTCCTCCTCCCCTTTCTTGGAGGGGCCACCCCCACAGAACTGGGATCTTGGGGAGAGAGGAGCTCCAGTGGTGCTTGGGGGTACTTGAATGGATGTATCCAGGGCTTCAGACACGTAACGCATAAACTCGCCACTGTAACACTGGAGCCATGTGCTTGACCATCAATTTTGTTTTTGCTGGATTTTTTCCTTTGGGGGAGCTGTGGAAGAGGGAAGGGTGGGTGCAGCACATTGGTCAGTGTTCAGAAGTTATGTCCCGCTCTGTACTCAGGTGACTGCTTCTGCAAAGCATAGTGTGATCAGCCCCTTGAGTTGACTCTGTGCCCTGTGATTAGTCCCTGTCTCCATTTTATTTATTTTTTTTGGCTTTTTGAGTCACACCCAGCGATGCACAGGGGTTACTCCTGGCTATGCGCTCAGGAATTACTCCTAGCGGTGCTCAGGGGACCATATGGGATGCTGGGAATTGAACCCGGGTTGGCCATGTGCAAGGCAAACGCCCTCCCCACTGTGCTATCACTCCAGCCCCCCCAATTTTTTTAAAAACAATTTTGAGTCAGATCCAAAAAGAGATCCACGTAAATTTTCAATTAAAGGCATGCTGTGGCCAGAGGAAAAGTATAATGGGTAAGGTGCTTGCCAGTCATGTGACTGACTTGGGTTAGAATCCCAGCATCATATTGGGTCCCCCTGGCCCCACCAGAAATGACCCCTGAGTCCAGTGCCAGTTGTAAACCCCAAGCACCCCAGGTGTGGCCCCAAAAACTAAAAAATGGAGCGTGTGCTATTTTAAGGCAGAGCGATTAAAAAATGTTTAAGGCGCTTATCTTGCACTCAGCCAACCCCACATATGGTCCCCCACGCCCTGCCAGGAGTGACCCTGAACATGGTAGAACGTGATCCAAAATAAAGGATGAGGGTCTGCAGTTATAGGGGCCGGGAGGTGACTCAGCATTGGTTCAATCCCCAGCACTGCGACTGTGGGAGTGACCTTCTAGCACCGTACAAGGAATAACCCCCAGCACCACTGAGCACACACATATATACACATACACCCATGTTTTGTGAAATAGAATATTTTTATGGGTTGGGAATGTGATGCAGATATAGAGGGCCAGGGCTGGAGCGATAGCACAGTGGGTAGAGTGTTTGCCTTGTATGCGGCCAACCCGGATTCAGTTCCCAGCATCCCATATGGTCCCCCGAGCACTGCCAGGAGTGATTCTTGAGTGCAGAGCAAGGAGTAACCCCCGAGCATCACCGGATGTGGCCCAAAAAGCAAAAACAAACAAAAAAAAAGAAATAGAGCGGGGGCTAGAGCAATAGCACAGCGGGTAGGGTGTTTGCTTTGCATGTGGCCGACCCAAGTTCGATTCCCAGCATCCCATATGGTCCCCCAAGTACCGCCAGGAGTGATTTCTGAGTGCAGAGCCAGGAGTAACCCCTATGCATCACCAGGTGTGACCCAAAAAGCCAAAAAAAAAAAAATAGAGGGCCAGTTGGGTAGGGCCCTTGCCTTAGGTTCTATCCCCAGCATCCCTTATGGACCTCCAAGTGGTGCCAAGAATGATCCCTGAGTACAGAGCCAGGAATAACCCCTGAGCACTGCTGGGTATAGTCCCAAAACCAAAAAATTTTAAAAAAGTGTTGGAGGAGATGGCACAGTGGGTGAGGCATTGGCCTCATGCAACAAAGCGGGGCGGGGGCGGCGGGTAGTACAGTAGCTAAGGTGCTGGCCTTGCACGTGGCAGACCCGGGGAGATAGCACAGTGGGTAAGGAGCTCACCTTGCTTGCATGCAACAGACCAGGTTTGAGACCTTCCGTCTCATATGGTTCCTGAGCACTGTAAGGAGTGATTCCTAAGGGCAGAACCTGGAGTAACCCCTGAGCGGCGCTGGTTGTGACCCCCACTCCCAAACCACCCCCCAAAAAAGATGGAGCACATGCCTGGCATGTGTGAACCCTAGTTTCAATCCCTAGCATCAAAAGAAAAATAAGATTGCTATTTCAGGCCTGGTCTGTAACCCAGCGGTAGAGCACATGCCTCTGTGCATGACGGCCTGGGTCCATCCCGAGCAGCCTGAGGTTGGGTCGGAGACAAAGGACAGTGCCCAGGATCAGGTTCAAGCAAGGTGCCAGGTGTGGCCCAAAACAGATGGCCCAAAACAGACGGACAGAAACATCGTCCTGCACATGTTCGTTATGGGTGATGCCTCTTCCTTACCCTCACCTCCAGGTCCACGAATCCTTTCACAAGTACCTGAAGCCGATGCAGTCCAAGCTCTGAAGCTCCTGGCCTGCCTCTCCCCACCCCTGCTGGCAGATCTACAATGAGAAGTGGACCCTTTTCCTCTTTTAAAAAATGAAGAAAAAAAATGAACAGTTTGCAGAGATTAAATGAAAAAACAAGTGTGTTTTAAGTGCAATTAGCCCGAGAGACCGCCCGGTAAGCGTTCCGGAAGTGTTCCGACCCGCGTGCTAGCCAGTGCTGCTGCTGCTGACGCGGGCAGGCCGGGACTTTGATAATGAGCAGGATTGAACTACTAAGTGTTAATTATTTTTTCATTTCGATTGCTAATCACTGAGTCCACACCTGTTTTTCAGCAAAGGCACTTTTTCGGTGGGGGGAAACCTACGCTTTCTCGGCACGGCGGCCTGGCTGCAAAGCGGGGCTGAAGAAAAGGGCTTGAGGCCAAGAACCTCGTCCAGATGCTTGGCGCGAGCTGGTGCAGGGCACGGTTCCTGCTGCTGGCCTCCGTGGCTGGTGTGTTCTTGTCTTCCTACTCTTGGTATTGGTTTTCCACTGCAAGGGTTCTCTTCAGGAAGGCCTCCTGCAGGGCCATTGTCCCGTGCAGTTAGGAATTAGTCTTCCATTCCAGGGTCTCTCTGGTGACACAAAAACTCCCTTGTCCCCCGCTTCCTGGGGGGTGATTAGGTAGCCAGTTCATGTCTACATAGGACTTCTGGCAAAGGCTAGGCCTTCAGTCGGTGGCTGTTGGTCTCCCTCCCTCTTTCCCTCCCTTTAAGGGAGGTGCTGAAGGAAAGAGCAGACCGGCCACAGCTGCTTTGTTGAGGAAGAATGTAAGGACTTCTGTGGCTACTCTGATTTTGGTCACTGTCTTAACAGTCTGGAATTTAATTGTCTGTTAATTTTCTGGAATAGTCCAGCTTTCAGACAGTCTATTCTCACTTGGTGGTTCTTTGATTTAAAATCAAAGGTCTGTTTGGGCCACTTCTTACAACCCAGAAGTGGCACAGAATGTTTTTCCAGAAAACACAGTCATTGAAACCAGACTAAAGCAGAAAGTTCTGTAGAATCTATTTCTTAATGTAGATTTGATCTTGTTTTCAATATGTTTTCTAAGAGCTTTATCTGAATTGCAAAATTGTCCTTTCAATCGAAATCTAATTTGCACAATCATGCTATACTTAAGTTTCACATGTACCTCTTAATGGAGTTTTTTCTTAAAATCAATGTTATACAACATATGAGTTGATTTTGTTTTTTTAACCTGTTTATTGTGTCTGTAACATGCCTCATAAAATCAGTTCTTCTAGAATCAATCTTGAGAATGTTGTATAAATTAGTGAAAATATAATTCTTATCTTGAGGTCTGACATAAAATCTATCCCAACGGAACTTAAAAGACTTTTGGGTCCAAAAGAATACTGGCAACAGAAGAGAAAAAGAAAAGAAATACTGACAAGCCTTAATCTTTTAACTAACTAATGATGGTGTGGAGTTGATGTACTAAGTCCTGTGTTAATCCTTCTGGAATATATATCTTGACAGTAATTTAGTATCTTAGAAATAGCTATGAAGTGTTTCATAATAACCTGTTTAATACTAATTTTAAAATGAGTGACTTTACTCCTAGACAAATATCTGCTCATATTGGAGCTCAGACCTGCTGACTCAGTTGCATAGATGCGGCCTTCATCTTGGCGGATTCCAGCAGGCAGGAGGGAGGACGAGCACCTTAAATCTAGCACCTGCGTTTTGTTTAAAAACTAAAACCTGACATTTGCTACTATTTTTATTAACATGAAAAGCGTTTTGTCTTGAACTTAATTCAGTGTGATCAAGAATAAAACCTCACTAATTTCCATGGTTAAAATGAGGAGTGCCACAGGATCCCACCTGCTGCTTAAAGGCTGTAGGGTGCAGGTTTCTTAGCCTTTCCTCGCACAGAAAGTCAGTGTGTCTGGCAGTTCCTGAGGTGGTAGCAGGCACTGGGCGCAGCCCATGGAAATGTGTCCCTTTGGCTACTGAGGAAATGGCAGCAGTATTCGTGTCCCATCCCTGAGCAGGCAGACCTCACTTCGTGTGGTGTGGGCACTTTTTTTGAGGGGAACCATCCTCACTAAAACACAGATTTCAAAGTCATGCTAAATACTGATTAGACATGGAGTTTTTTTATTAGATGAGCTGGAGAAACCTCTTTTTTCAACACAGTCAACAGTGTCTAAAACTGAAAATAATGTGAGATACTCTTGCTACTTGCAATGGATGAAGGTTGGTTCTTCTTCCTCAAGTGTCTGGGGATCTGTTGGTGCGTCCTGGATCTATGCCAAGTGTATTTGAGTATTTGGACGTCGGTGACCTGAGAGCACAGATGGGCCTTTAATGTTCTTGTCTTTGGAGCACCTCACAGCCAAGTATCCGTTTCCCTTCAGAACAGTGACTTCACTGTAGCATTGCCTGAGAACATGCTACCTGTGGTTTCAGATGTGTGTGCCCGAGGCGGTCTCTAATTCCTGGAATTTCTTTTTATTTTTTGGAGGAAGGGGGCACACCGGGTGATGCTCAGGGGTTCCTCCTGGCTCTGCACTCAGGGATCAACCCAGTCAGCTGTATGCAAGGCAAGGGCCCCTCCTGGAGTTAATTACTTATATCGTAGATTGGATTTTCTGAAGTATAGGGCTCTGGGGAATTCTTAGTGTGGTAGTATTCCAAGTACTTGTTTTCGCTTCTTGGTCCACCCTGTTAGGAAGAGTGAGGTAGCAGGTAATCTTCACAAGGAACTGATGAGGCGCAGGTCAGGGTTTGAACATTGTCCTCAAACACTGTTGAGATCATTGCAGCTTGGGATTTTACTGCTCCTGTCTTGGAATATCACACTGGGCCCCACCATTACGATGACAAAAATGGCTTTGTTTTAAAAATCCTGGTTATGGGGTTCTGCTTCTGAACTGCTGGCCTTGACTGGAATTGTTCAGACCCATCCCTTTGGTTTCTGATAGCAAACACAAACAGAAGAAGGCTTGTCATCAGAGGCTGGCTACAGGTTCCTCGGTCCCAAGGGCTTTTGGTGGGCTTTTTGGTGTTTGTTTGGTTTGGGGGCTACAGCTGGTAGTGCTCAGCGCTTACCCTGGCTCTGTTCTCAGAGATTACTCCTGGTGGGTCGTGGGGACTATAGTGAATGCTGAGGATCAAATCTCTCTCTCGTGAAAGGCAAACGCCCTCCCTACTAAAGTCCTTTGCTCAGGAAGATCTTGGGAAGTTGGGAAAGATTTTAAAACTTGTTTCTGTTTAGGGACCACATTTGGCAATACTCAAGGGCTACTCCTGGTTCTGCACTCGGGAGTCACTCCTGGCGGTGCTTGGGGAACCGTAGGGCGTGTCGGAGATCAAAACCGAGTCAGCTGCTGCGTGCAAAAGTATTACCTCCCCAGCCCCAAGATTTTAAAACTTCTGACCCAAAATATGCTATTTTGGTACAATACTGTTTTATAGATGAAGTGAGAAGTACTCGATATTCTGTAATCTCGATATTCTGGGCAGGAGCCATAGCACAGCAAGTAGGGCGTTTGCCTTGCACGCGGCCGACCTGGGTGACCTGGGTTTGATTCCTCCAGCCCTCTCAGAGAGCCCAACAAGTGCAGGGCAAAGCCTGGCAAGCTACCTGTGAGGTATTTGTTATGTAAAGTACAGTAACAAGTCTCACAATGGAGATGTTACTGGGCATTGAGTGATGAACAACGGGAGGACAGTGCTACAGTGCTACTGTTTCATAGATGAGGTAACAAGTACTCCATATTCTGTAATCTACTCAGCCTACTGACTACTTCTGTGTGAACCCTGTTTTATTTCCAAGTACTATGGATTCAGGGAAATGACTTGTATCTTCTGGGGTGGTTTGCTCCTTTGTCTCCTTTTACTGCGGTAATTGGAGTTTGGTCTCTTTCCTATGATGTATTTTTTACATATTATTCCCCACTCCTGGCTGGGCTTTGTGTCAGGAATGTTGAGAAGGCAGGAGGATGATACCGGTCATCACGGTTGGACAGCAGTGACCCAACATGCGTGTGGGAAAGCCAAACCACGACACCCTTGTAAAATTAAACCCTTAATAAAATCTGTAATTAACACTGAAAAATAAAAGAGTCTTTATTGGGTGGCACTATCGCTTTGCAGAACTGAACAGGAGGGCTGGGGAAAGCAGAGGGCATCCATCCTGCTGAGGTCGGTTGGAGGCCCTTCACTGTCCAGCTGACTCCGCAGCCCCGTTCCGGCACTGTGGGCCCCGCAGCACTGCGTGCTGTAGCCCTAACCCTCCTTCACCGCTGCCCTCGACTAAAAGGGAGCAGGGAGAAAGTTCACAATTAATTCCTAAGCTCTGGGGGGTGTGGAGCTACCGGTCAACGGTTTCATTGGCCCGTCTCCGATCTCAGCACGTCACTCCCCCGGCTGAGCGGTACACTGTCGAAGAGGGTCGCAGGAATAAGGATCTGGCCTTGGCGCTAAGGCCCTGATCAACGCCTAGAAAGGAGCAGAACCAAGACCGACCCCCCCCCCCCCCCCCCCCCCCCAGCTCTGAGTCCCAGGCTGCTCCCGGTGGCTGGGCGGCAGCTCCTTAGCAACCTGCCGGGCTGCTAGCCGAGACCCTGCCCAGATTAACGGCCGCCGCGGGGCGCCTTGGGAAATGTAGTTTGTCTAGGCAGCCCGTTACTTCGGCTCTTGTAGGTGAGAGGGCGGCGGACTACAACTCCCAGGATGCCTCGCGCCCCGCTGGACTTCCGGGGGCGGGGCGATTGAGTGGCGTCCGTGGAGTCCCGAGGCGGGAGCCGGGCCGCGCGAGGCCGTGGAGCAGGAGCAGGACCACCAGCGGTGGCCGGGGCAGGTCCCAGCGGCTGCGCCTCCGAGGGGCATGGCGCGTACCCACGGGAACTCCAGGGGCAGGGAGGGGCGCGGCGGAGCGGGGCGCGGAGGGGGCGGGGAGGGGCGCCCAGGAGTCTGGCCCCGGGGCGGCGCGGGAGGCCGTCAGGGGGTGACAGCGTCCAGGTGCCCAGAGATCGCGGGGTCGGGCATCGCCAGGGCTCCGCGTCCTGGACGGGAGTCGGCCCCCAGGAAACGGATCCCCGTTAGCGGGTGAGCCGGGTTCCCGCGCGGTGAAGTCAGAATGACCAGTGGCCACGTCCCCTCTTTGGCCCAGACTCGGCCGTAGAGTGCTCGCGGATGGTCCCCGGGAAGGGAGGTTGACAGGAGTCTGAGCATCTCCTTTCTGAGCTGGGCACCACCCGGTGCAGGGTGAGGACCGCTCCTTCTCCTAACGCCAAGCCCTCATTGAGTCAGTCACCCAAGCACGGCTTCTCACCTAAACTGTTCTCCACCTTTTGTTTGTTCTGGGCCACTCGCTGCCTTTGCGTACTCCTGGCTCTGCTCAGGGATCGCTCCTTGCAGGGCTTTGGAACAATATGAGCTTCTGGGGATCAAACCTGGGTCAGCTGCCAACGCAAAACATCTTACATGCTGCACTATCTCTCCATCGCCCACAGAAAGCACATTATTCATTTATTTTTCTAATGTTTTGTCTCCAGCCACATCCAACAGATCCCTGGACTCTGCACTCAGGGATCACTGGGGATGGAACTTGGGTCAGCTATGTGCTAGTCAAGTGCCTTAACACCCATACTATCTCTCTAAACCCTGGAAATAGGTTTTGACCTTTTAATGGGTCAAGTAAGATGTGCATTAATAGACTTTGCACTTAAGCACAGTTAAAATCCCTGTTTGGGCTTGGGGGTACACACTCGGGCGGCTGTACCTTCACCACGGTGCTTAGGAGTGGAGCTGGGACTCCCTCCCACACAGCACACACTCCAGGCCCTTCAGGCATCTCTCCCAGCACAGCAACGGCACTGGGACTGGAGTGATAGAACAGCCAGGAGGGTTTGCCTTGCATGCTGCAGACCCAGGTTCAATCCCTAGAGTATATCCCCTAGAGTTCCCAGAGCACCACCAGGAATAATTCCTGAGTGCAGAGCCAGGACTAACCCCTGAGCATCACCCGGTATGATCCAAAAAGAAAAAAAAACTACATAATTTTCATTTTCTTTCTTTTTTTTTAATTCAGTTTTTAGATTGCACCCATAAGTTCAGGACTTATTCCTGGCTCCACTCAGGGATCACTTATGGCAGGTTTGAGCTGTATGGGGTACCAGGAATCAAACCCAGGTTAGCCACCTGTAAGGCAAGCTGTAAAGTGTAGCTCCAAGGCTATACTTAATCCAACTCTAACATCACTTTATAAAAAAGAAAGTTCTGTTTTCTCTTTTTATTTTATTTTGGGGCCACACGGTGGCTTTTCGCAGGGCTTACTCCTGGTTCTGAGCTCTGGAATTACTCCTTGCGGGCTCAGGGAACCACCTGGGATGCTGGAGGTTGAGCATGGGTTGGCTGTGTGCAAGGCAGCCCCCATCCCCACCCCCAACATCCATTTTCAAGCGACCCCTGTGATTTGCTTCCTCAGGGAGGTACGTCTGGTGCAGGCAGAGTCCCAATGAGCTGCAGAGCCCAGTGGCAGCACCGCTCGCCAGCCCCAGCCCCAGAGCCTTGAGATGGTAGGAGGGCGCAGAGTGACCTGTCTGAATCTCGGGGACTGCTGCTGCGGCTCACCTAATGCCTGGGGATCCTGACTGGGTGGCAGGGACCGGGGTGAGGTCCCTGATGCAGTGCGGTGGACTGTGGCACTGAAAGCAGATTTTGGTTCTTTTGGTTTTGGGTCACTCCCAGAAATGCTCAGGGCTTGCTTACTCCTGAGATGCTCGGGGGACCCTCTGGGATGCTGGGGATCAAACCCAGGTTGGCCACATGCAAAGCCAGCACTCTGCCCGCTGTACTGCCCAGCCCCTGAGCAGATTTTGCTGACGTCATGCGCAGCTGACTTTCTGGCTGGCAGGGCTTGAGCATGGCCATTGAGCAGTCGGGGGGAATGGGAGGGATTTCAGCCCACCCTGGGACAGTGGGGCCCAGCCCAGTCTTGGGACCCCCAGGAGCGCTGGGGCCCGTGTCTCGGGGCATGGGCAGCAGCATCCAGCCGCATTCACTGTTTGTTCTGTGGTTGCTGTGCCCCCTGCAGGCACCCAAGGCCAGGAAGGGACTGAAAGGTGAGTGGGACAGGCGCGGTGTCCTACTGGGGGGTCTCTTTTAGGGGGTTGCAGAGGCTATGGAGAATTGGAGAGCGTGTGTGTGCCTGGGAATCCTTGGGCAGTACCGCTCGCCTTGATTTTTTTTTTTGGGGGGGGGGCACACCCAGCAATGCTCAGTAGTTACTCCTGGCTCTGCATTCAGGAATTACTCCTGGCAGTACTCAGGAGACCGTATGGGATGCTGGGGATCGAACTCAGGTCGGCCTTATGCCAGGCAAATGCCTTACCCACTGTGCTGTCACTTAGGCCCCGGCGCTCAGCTTGAGCAAAGATCCCACCCTGCCCCACTGGCCGCTTCCCCTGGCCACGTACTTCTCCCTCTCCCCTCCCCTTTCAAAAGTCTTGCTGGAACCCTGGTGGCGCTCAGCGGGCACCTGGACCTGGGTCCTGCCTCTGACCGCGTGCCCCTCCTCCTCTGCAGGGTCCATTGACGACGTCCTGGGAGGTCTGCTGGGGGATGACAGTAAGTGCCCCCTCCCACTGGTTACAGGGCAGCCTCTTGGCTCAGGGTATTGTTGAGATACTAGTCCCGCAAAGTTCTCCCTCTGAGTGTGTGCGTGGGGGCCTTTAGACGGCTGCTCGGACCCTCCTTGCTCTCCCTGTCAGGGAAGCCCGCGTCCCCTTTCTCCGACACACCTGGGTGGGCAGGAGAGATAAAACAAGTCACACTGTCTGTGCTCTGCACACCTGGTGTCTACCTGGAGGATGTTTCACATAGTTTCGGGGACGGAACAATAGCACAGTGGGGAGGGCTTGCTGTGCAGGCCACCAACCTGGGTTCCATCCCCAGCACAATAGGGGTCCCCCAAGCCTACCAGGACTAACCTCTGAGCACTGCCAGTGTGGCCCAAATACTAAAATAATAATCATTTCCAAATGAACTGCATTTCGTGGGAGGGTGGGCTGGGCTCATGAGGTTCCTCAAGGAAACAGGTGGGTCCCTGCGCAGCCCCTGCCTGGTGCCAGGAGAGCCCCTGGACACCAGCCTGTCCCTTCCAGGTGCCTCCCCTGAGCAGCCCGTCAGGCTCACCCCCCAGACCAGAGACTCTGCGGGGCTGGCCACAAGGCCCAGAGCCAGGTAAGTCCTGGCCAGTCCTCCTCCCTCCCTCCCCACCCCGTGTCTCTTGTCTCTCTCTTCTCTCTATCTCTCTGTTTCTCTCTCTCCCTGCCCCCCCCTTACTCCCGACTCAGGGGACCTTATGGGATGCCGGGGATCGAGCCTGGGTCAGCCACGTGCGAGGCAGGCGCCCTCCAGCGTGCTCTTGCCCAGCCCTGGTCCTGTGCTTCCTCGCCGGGCCACAGCTGCATGCCAGAGCACAGCTGGCCCGGCCGTTGCTGATGCTCCTTTCTGTTTCCCTCCCCTTTCCATTTTTCTTTCCTTTTTCCCTTTCTCCTCTCTCCCCCTCTCCTCCTTCTTCTTTCCTCTCCTTCCTTCTTCCCTCTCTTGGGCATCTTGCCTCCCTGGGGATGGACCGGGGTCAACCACATGCCAGACCGTGCTTGAGCCGTTGAACTGTCCCTCCAGCCCTTTCTTTCCCTGTTAAGAATAAACCTGGCGAGACAGTTCAGAGGCTTTGGGCCAAGTCAGGGCTTTGCACACAGGAGCCCCAGATTTGCTCCCCATCACCGCCTGGGCCCCTCCCCCCCAGAGCTCCAACCGGGAGTAACCCTCGAGCACCACTGGGTATGGATCCAAAACCCACAAAAGTAAAATCAAAATCAACCTAGTGGGGGGGGGGCAAAGAGATAGTACAGTGGGCAGGGCATTTTCCTTGCACACAGATGAACCGGGTTCAGTCCCCGGCACCCTGCCAATCCCTTAGCATGGCCAAGAATGATCCCCGAGCACAGAGCCAGGAGTCAGCCCTGAGCACCGCTAAGTGTGGCCCCTCCAAAAATAATTTTTAAAAAAGCAAAACCTGGTGGTGCTTGGGTTGAGG